AAATCTGCTTATGTGCCCCCCACACACGCCAAAAGGAAAGTAGAGGTGAATCATTTGATTGTGCAAAGGTTAAGTACCTACATTTTCCTGAATCTTCAGTTGGTCAACCTTACTTGGGGTTGATTATTCAGACATGATATGGCTGAGACCACTAGCAAATATCCCACCCCTACTGGTGGAAGAGTCGGGGATGGTGTGTGCATGCTTATGGATGGGCGTGTGTGTGTGTGTGTGTGTGTGTGTGTGAGAGAGAGAGAGAGAGAGAGAGAGAGAGCAGTGGGGAAGGGGTTCAAGTCCATAACCAGTGATTACCTGGCCAGACTCAATGAACCAAAGAAAGAAAATGAGATCCCTACAAACCAAGAAATGAAGAGGTAATCTCAGACAACCAGGCTTTCAGATATACCAGAGCAGGACATCAACACTGAGGGCTGAACACAATGAGAAAAAGGGCTGGTGGAAAAAGATGGGAGGTCCAGCAGGAGGTATGCAGATGGCAGGAAGGCATTGACTGATGAACACAGAAGGAATTTTCCAGATGTTGGGTCTGGGCTCTGGAATCTCTTTTAAGAGCGGACTCCTGGCAGCCCCAGCTGGGAGCAGGACCTTGCAGAAGCAGGCCCAGGATGCTGACTCCTCCTGTATCTGGGCTCCTCTCCTTGTACAATGATTGCCGCTCCTTTGGGTTTCAGAGTCTGGAGCTGGGAATCAGCATACCTGGGTTCTAGACTAAGCCCCACTACTGACAATCTATGTGACTTCAGAAAGCTCATGCACTCCTAGTTTTTCCATAAAAATGAGAAGAATTATTCACCAACAGTACCCAACTCATGGAATGCCATTAGGGCAATATTAAATTGTGCAAGTCAAAGAAGCATTCTACACTCAGAAGTATATCTGTACTCTGGCCTTGGTTATAATGTGACCCAAGTCAAACCAGATGAGTTTACACAATTCTCTAGGATAATAATAACAACAATAATAGTAACCCTTACATAGCACTTACTATGTTACTAGAATCTAATATGTCTGAGATACTTAGAATAATCTTCAAAACAACCTATGGGATGGGTACCAGCATTGTCTGCATTTTCAAAGGAAACCAAAACATAGAGATGTTAAATCAATTGCCCAAGGTCATGCAGAAAAGTGGCAGGTTTAGGGTAGAAGCTCAGGAAGTCTGCCTTCAGAGCCTGTTGTTCTTAACCACTGTGTGATATTCTCTCTTGCTAAAGGATCAAAGAAGCCAATGACCCAAGTGGCCAGGGTCTAGGAACCTACAGCATTATTATAGACACATTTAACTGTGAGTTAAACCAAAGTGGAAAAGTCTAGATTTTACATGGTAGGTGGGGTGAATAACCATTTTACATATGCCAAAAAACAAACCAAAAAAATTAAAAATGAAGCAAATTTCACAAAAGGATTCAAGATAAAACCTCATTTGGCAGCAAGCTTCCTAACATGTTTAAAGATTCAATTTGCACAAAAGAGCTAATACTTTTTTAGGAGGTCAATAGTTACTTGTTTCTAGGGCTCCCTTTATCACAAATAGGAAGTAAAATCTTTTTTTTTTTTTTTTTTTTTGAGACGGAGTCTCGCTCTGTCGCCCAGGCTGGAGTGCAGTGGCCGGATCTCAGCTCACTGCAAGCTCCACCTCCTGGGTCCACGCCATTCTCCTGCCTCAGCCTCCCGAGTAGCTAGGACTACAGGTACCCGCCACCTCACCCAGCTAGTTTTTTTTGTATTTTTTTGTTAGCCAGGATGGTCTCGATCTCCTGACCTCATGATCCACCCGTCTCGGCCTCCCAAAGTGCTGGGATTACAGGCATGAGCCACCGCGCCCGGCAGGAAGTAAAATCTTAAGGAGACAAGATGCCAATGCCAAGGTCTCCTGGGTAGATTGTTGCAGAAATTAGTTATGCCTCTTTATATGTACACTCTATGCAGTCCCCTCCCCAATTTGTTCTACAGTTGGTATGTGACTTGCTTTCATCATGGGACATTAACACATATGATATAAGTTGAACTTGAAGACTACTTGTACTACGGGGCTTGTGCTGTTAGAATACTCCTCCCATGTGAAGTGCCTTATGCTAGCCTGTTAGACACAGGTAGTTTAGCCAACACCCAGTACCAACCTCCAGACATATGAGTGAGGTCATCTTAGACCATCCAGCCCTAGTTGAGCCTCCAGGTAGATGTGGCTGCATGAGTGACCCAGGGTAAGACCCGCAGAAGAACCATCCTGCTGAGCCCTGGCCAAACATCTGATCCATAGAATTGTACATATTTGCTGTTTTAAGCCACTAAATGTTGGGGTGGATTATTATGCAGCAAAAGCTAATGTATAGAGCCCATATCTAAAGCATTTCATGGGGTAGCAATAACAATATGGAACATAGAAATTGTTGGAAAGCCTGCAACATTCTCACAGTTAGGTAGGAGAGTCATTTAGCTGAAAAAGTGGCATCAGAAGTGCTGAGTTGAGAAGAGAACATGTGCTGTTATTGCCTGATTTTTACCTACCTTTCTCTGTGACTTCTGAGTCAAGTAGATGGGGAAGTTGATCTTCACAATCACATTTGTAGAGCAGAGGAAAAAAAAGGAAAGAAGTCTGTTTAGAACATTCACTGATAAGAAATGTGCTACAACAGCACAGTGATGTCACCAGTCAGGTTTATAGCCACACAGTGTCTTCTGCTTCAGTCCCTCCTAGGCTATTACCATTACTCCCTTAGCATTACTGCTACAGATTGGAGAAGCAGAGGCACAGAATAGGGAAAGGACTCAACCAAAGACAAAGAACACCTCTCAGCACTCTGAAGCCAAGAGGCCTGCTTATCTGTGGTGACAGCAATACAGAGAATAAAACCATCATCCAGTCCAATGTATTTCTTTAAAAATGAGAAACAGAAGCTCACAGAAGATAACTTGCTCAAGGCCACACCGCTAAATATGATTAAGCTGAGACGTGAACCAAAGTCCATGGAATCTAATATTCTACAGAGACCTGGGACATAGGATATGTCTGAAAATCCTTCTGTCCTTGATTGATTTGAGAATATTGGCCAAGTGATCATCTAAGACAGCCTAGAAAGCCATAAGACTACAATATTTTTCAAACAGTCATTGGGAAACTTGGTTGACTAATGGATATAAGAGGGGAAAATCCACCAAAATTTCATTATGACAAAGACTGTGAATTTACTTGCAGGCCCTCCCCTTCTATTTCTATCAAAGTGACAATTAATAGTGACCACAAGGAGCATATTTATAATACTATGGTCTGAATATTTGTTCTCCCCTCAAATTCATATGTTGAAATTCTAATCCCCAAAGTGATGGTATGTGGAGATGAGGCCTTTGGGAAGTGATTAGGTCATAAGGGTAGATCCCTGTGATGAGATCAGTGCCCCTATAAGAAGCAACTTGAAAAAGCTTGCTTTCTCTCTCTCTGCTATGTGATGATACAGCAAGAAAGTATCTTCACCAAGAAACCAACCATGCTGGCATCCTGATCACAAACCTCCAGCCTTCAGACTGTGAGAAATAAATGTTTGTTGTTTAAGCCACCTCATGTATGGTATTGTGCTATAGCAGCAAGAGCTGACTGAGACAATATCTTAGAGAATAAAGAAAACATTAACTTATGGCTTGAAGTATAAACAGTAGCTAACAAATACTTCTGCAAATCACTCTTAAATGCTGGCATATGCGTATGTGCTAAACCTTACATGTATATCTGATTTTATTTTATACTCTAGAGGAAAATGCCCTGGTTCCTTTTCTATTTCTAATTTATTTTATGAACGTGAACAAGTGATTTAACTACTCCAGGTCTCAAATGTTCCATCCAATAAAACAAAGCCATTGGACCACCGAGTCTGAAGCAACACAGTAGAATGCAGACATTGGACTTTGGACACAACACAGTTGACACTGAATCATCCGGGACATAGCATCTTGTTAATGTCTGGCTGTGTGCCTAGCCTCACCTCTTTCCATGTCTAGATAAACGCAAAAGACACACCCTTCTCACAGGGCTTGGTAAAGATGAATAACAACACACATAAGGAACCCAGCATCATGCCTCATTCCTAGGAGTGCTCAATAAGGAACAGCTAATGATAATCATGCATTCATCCCACAAATATTTATTGAGCTTGTACTTGGTGCCAGGCACTATTCTTTGTGTGAAGAACAGAGGAGTTAACAAAACCAAGGAAACTCCCTGTCCTATTGAGCTGGCATTCTAGTGCCGAGTAATCCACTACACTAACATTGCAGGAGCTAGGGGTCTTAGGTCGCAGCAAGGGTTCCCTGATTCCATCCCCACTACAGAATCCAGAGCAACTAGTGCCTGGAAGTCTCACCCTACGCTGGCTAGGTCCTTGCCTCCGTAGGGAAGGCCACATACTATCATGGGTCCCTTAGGCCTCCCATCAACAGCCCAGCATGGTATCCACCAGTGAGGGCATAGCCAGGCCTGGGCTTCACATGTCCCTGCCACCTTAGCTCCTTTCCCTCACCAAAACCGTTCCCCGAGCCTGCCCCAGAGCCTTCCAGAAACCTCCGAGGAGACGAAGTTTGCTTAGTGGCATTACCCAGGACTTCCCACCAGAGGTCGCCCTCCCACACAAGCCCAAGCAAACAGGGCTTCGCCGCCTCTGCGGCGGTGACATTATTTTCTTTCTCTATTTTTATCTATTAAAAAGATTTCTTCACAGCCATAACTTAGATCCCTACACTAAAATGGAGCAACAGGAAGATATAATGGTGCGTTTCATTTATGAATGACCTATAATAAATTACTCTGAAGTGTCCCGAGTGCCAGAAGACAGAACGCTTTGTCTGCCCACGAACTGTATTTCACATACTTTAATTTAGCTGACACATAAAACTCATTTGACATTTTGCAGGTATTTGTGCAGGGTGGGGTGGGGGGACGACTGTGGGGCTGGGTGGGGAGTGGGGGCAGCGGGCAGAGGAAAGGATATTCGGTTCTTGTTGAGGGTTAAGGTATGCAGTCTGGGTAACCCTGGCAACACGAGGTCGTCCCCCAGCTGATTGTTGTCCAAGATGAGTTCCTCCAGGCTCCTGAATGCGCTCAGTCCTTCCAGTGACCTGCAATGACAAAGGCAACAGGAAAAATGATCCTGCACTAAATCAGGGAGGCCATTATGAGCCGAAATAAATATTTTAACCTTCCCTTTCAGGACTGGGAATAGTTTGGGCTTGGTGCCTGTCAGCAAAGTGAATGACAAGAATTAGTAGCAGGAGTCGGGGCGGGGGCGGCGGGGGAGAAGGGGCCGCTGGCACCCACCGCATCCTTCACGTATTGCCAACATGAAGGATGAGGGTCACTTAGTGAGTAGCCAGGATCCAAAACAAAGGGCTTCAGATACGGCCTGCAGGATAAATTTGTCAATGTCTTGTGCCTTCAGGCACCCAGCCTCGGCTGACCCTAACCTCCATTCCCAAGATAAATAACTCTGTCACAGTTCACCTTCATTCCCTGGACACAAATTCAAGTTGTCATCCATCATTCCTGCCCAGAAATATCATACCCTCTTACAATAATAAATATAACTTCAAGTATCATTTCTTAGCGGTTCTCCTCTGTACAGTCGTGGGGGAAACGGCAGGGAAGGCTTCCTTTCTCTGCGTTCACATCCTTTGACTTTTTTTTTTCCCTCTGCCTTTTTTCTTTACTAATCACTTAATTTGCTTCTGCCCAGCGTCCCAGTGGCTGCCCCAAAGGCAAGGCATCTGCGGAATTACATAATCACTCCGTTCTGAGAGGCCTTTTTCTTTTATTATTTCTTTTTATTTGTTTTTGCTGCGGGTGGGGAGACAGGGGTTGGCGGAATTGCTGCTTCAAAGCTCCTGGCCTGAAGTTACTGTTTTAATTTATGGAAAGTGGATTTCTCACTTAATTTTTGAAAGAAGTGTAGAGTGCAACCCTGTAGATGTTGAGGCAGTAAATAAAAAGGCAACTGAGAGAATTAAGTACCCGACTCCAGGAAAAAAAAAAAAAAAAAACAGAAAGGGAAAAATAGCCTTGCTTATACACGTCGCTGAAAGTTAACTCTTAATTTTATGGGCTCTCATGAGTGTTGGGGGTGGAGGTGACACGGGGTAGTTGTGCACAAGTGCTTGCCTGGGCGCACACAGACATTAATTAAAGCAAGCCGGCCGGCGGAGGGGCTTACACAGAGACACAGACTCCCAGCTCGTTCACCTGCCAGACCCGGGAGATGTGCTGAGCCTGCACAGGCTGACAGCTGAGCTACGATGTGGACCGGAGGGAGACTCCTATGGGATGCCTGGCTATTCTATAAAATGACGAATCAGGGAGATGAGTCGTCCACACTATTCATTTCCTGATAGCGCTTCCATTAGAGCCCCGTGTGCTTGTGTGTGCAATGTCTGCACATCTGCTGTGAGTGTGAACTTCAGCACCAGAGCTTTCCCAAGGCATCCATAGCTCCCTTGTGGGATCTCTGCCAAGAGGACTCCAAAATAGGGAGTCAATACTTGCGAGGTGTAAAATGTGTTGTAATTAAATCTGTAGGTTCCACTGGGCCCAGAGCTCTGCCTGCATATTCCATTCCTGCCAGACCTCGGGATGGTCCCACCCAGGACTTGACTCCCAGAGCATGCCTGCTCCTCCAACCAACACTGCCAGTCCCACCGAGGGAGGACACATTTTGGAGTAGGGGTCCAGAGGTCATCGCGTTTCATTTCCTCCTCCTTTCTCTTTTGCCTCTTGGTTCCTAGAGGCAAAACACAACTTATGAGGATAAATGCTTGAAGGGCTGGATATCCCATTTATCCTGATGTGATGATTACACATTGCATGCCTGTATCAAAATATCTCATGTGACCCATAAACATCTCTATCTGCTATGTACCCACAAAAAATACAAACAAAAAAAAATTGTAAAAACCCACAACGTACGCACATCTAGGCAGGAGGGTTTGGGACTTTGCCTCCGCTCCTCCATTTCCTGTTGTGTGAATTCGGGCCTGTCAATAGCCCATCTGAACTCTACTGTTCTGTGCTCCTTCCAGCTCATAGGATCTTGTAGAGAATAAGTGAAGGATGGCTAACTGGTTAGTAGCATACGCTGTTTTGTTTTGTTTTTCTTTTCCTTCCTCCTTTTATTCACTGTTTTGTTTCCTGACGCCCTGACCCTGGGGGTGTGTTTGGAATGCAGTGGACAGGCCCATGAACAAACCCACAGAGGAGGCGTGCAGGAAGTCAGGCTTGTGCAGGGGACTTTCGGGCTCTTCTGAAGTCCCTCCACTAGGGATTAGGGAGTGATGTGCCAAAAGGCTTCTCAGGACTGGGCCTGTTTGCCACTAGGGGAGGTGAGGCCACTTCCCCTTAGGGAGCCTTACGGGTGGCTAATAGGACCTTCGTGCACAGACATCAGTTGGGCTCTGCTCAAAGGCAGCATCCAAATACATTGCTCCTACGTTATGTTATGCAAACATTAGACTCTTCTGATGAGAATCAGCAAATGGTTGGCAACTGGCAAGCAGAAGAAAGTTCCTTTCCAAAAGTGCTCCAGGGAGGCATAAAGCAGAACGACACAGCATGAAGATGGGGAGGGCCCAGGAGCACCAAGGAAGCGCCCACCTCCATCCAGACAGCCTTTCTTCGCTTGCAGGGTGGGCTATGGGGCAGAACCCCACACCAGAGTGAAACCTCCCAGAAGAGCTGGGAAGATCAGTCTCAAATCCCCTGTCACCTGCCTGGTTTTGAGACTCTTTTTGCCATGTGACGTTATTAGCTGCTCAGTAAAAAGAGAACCATATTACATGGGTGACTGCTAATGAATAAATCCCTGTTTTCATGTTATCAGTGTGGTGTGCTCCTGGGGATTTAATCAGCTAGATCCAGAGCTGAGGGCCGGGGCACCGAAGTCAGGGGGCAGAGAACATAGTGAATGGAGGTACTGGGGAGGACAGGTTTTGGGAGGTCCCAGCTGGCACATGGATGACAATACACATACACCTGGGAGGAGGTGGCTTTAACCTTTACGTTGATTTTGTTTGTTTGTTTTTACTGTTGTTTTCTAGGGAGAAATAGGAGAAACAATATGTGTGTAGATCTTTGAGTTCATTCCCCTATATGCCAGATGCCTGCAAATATGTGCTGTTAAATAAAATGACAATTTGTCTGCTATCATCTTGTGTATGAACAGCAAAATGCACCCCAAAACCAGATCCCCCGTGGAGACGCCGACTGTCAGTCCAGCATCACTCGCCAGCTTCCCGGAGCAGTGCGATGTCTGAGGCATGGACTGGGGGCTGGTAGGAGAGAGCAAGGTTTCACCCAGGACCTAGGCACAGCCAGCTGGAGGGAGATCATCCAGGCCTGGATTGTTCTGGAAACCGAATCAGCACCCCTGGAACTCCCTGCAGGCTGCCTGCCTCCCCCTCCACCAGCAGCAACGCAGCCAGGATCTCACGCACAGGTACCATCCTCTTACCTCCTTCCCTCATTCCCAGGGCTCTGCCTGGGCTCCCCCAGGAGCTGCAGCGGCTGCTGGGAGCATCCCAGTGCCTTTTCCAAAGTCACATCAAAATGACAAAACATCACAACGCATTGGGCTCCAGTGGATTCAAACAGAGAGAACTTTTAAGTTTCCACTGTAATTAACCCTATCCTCGTTAAGATAATTATGATCAAGCTTTCTGTCAGAGTTAATATCCCAACATCATCGCCTGTGGCTCACACTCTGCCCTCATTAGCTTATGAAAACAGCAGTGCTGAACGGGCGTGCAGCCCTGCCCAGGCCAGGCCAGTGGTTGGCATGGGGGGACCTCGGGTTGGGGACCAGGGACCCCACAGAAGGGCCACCCCTTGAGCCCCAGTCCCTTCTGCTCCTGGGTGGGCACAAATCAGTGACCTTCATCCTTTCCCTGCAAATGAGTCACTCACCAGAATGGAGGGGAAGAGCCAGGACCCGGGCCCGGGTAGGGCTGGCAGGCTTGGGCAGGAGCCTCTAATTTGTAGCCATTCCTCCCTGCCCCTTGCCCAGCCAAACACCAGCCAGGACATTGTACCATTAAAACCACCAGAGGATGCTTCCAGAACCCCTGGATCAATCCTTGGATCTAGGCTATGCTAAGAATTCAATCTCTCCTCCCTCAGTTCCAGCCTATACCAGGGGTGACAGGGTTGCGCCAACATGAGATGGGCAGTGAACAGGGGGAACAGCTGACCACAGACCCTAAAACAAAAGTGTCAGTCTCTTTGGGACTATATTTGGCCCCAAATCCAGGAGCAAAGGCTAGGATGTTCTCAAGCCAATCAAGAAAGCAAGATCTCCACAGAGAAAGTCTTTACCCACTTCCTCAACTCTAAATATCCCTGCCCATATTTTTTTTTTTTTTTTTTTTTGAGACGGAGTCTCACTCTGTCGCCCAGGCTGGGGTGCAGTAGCCGGATCTCAGCTCACTGCAAGCTCCGCCTCCCGGGTCCACGCCATTCTCCTGCCTCAGCCTCCCAAGTAGCTTGGACTACAGGCGTCCGCCACCACGCCCGGCTAGTTTTTTGTATTTTTAGTAGAGACAGGGTTTCACCATGTTAGCCAGGATGGTCTCGATCTCCTGACCTTGTGATCCGCCCATCTTGGCCTCCCAAAGTGCTGGGATTACAGGCTTGAGCCACTGCACCCGGCCCCCTGCCTATATTTTTAACTGAGAAAATGGGGTGGCCATGGAAGGTCTAGAGGGCCTAACCTGGGTCTGATGTCTACCACCCTGGCTAGGTCCCCAGACCTGAAAGGGCTGGCTGCTGCCTGTTCTGTATGGATCTCTGTGATGATTTCTGCCTGCCCAGGCCCCTCTAAGAGGGGATCTCCCTGCAGCCTCCATACTTCCAGAAAGCTGTTAAGTGTACAGTGAGGGCTCAGTACTGCCTCATTCACTGAGCACTGTTCAGCCACAGCCTGGGAGTGTCTGAGAAAAAAAACAGCCAATAAACCCAAGCATGGGACAGAGAGCAGGACCAGCGTACTGGCCAGTGGCTAGGAGGGCAGCCTCTCGACTCCTATTCTTTCAGAGGCCAGAATGCCTCCTCATGGTTTCCCTGGGGCCACGTGGCTGAG